CCCCCATCCTTCCCTTTCCTCCACACCAGCTTTCAGTGTAGATTCTCAATGGAATGAAATATGTCCACCATAAGAAGCCTTCCTTCTGCCTCCAGCTGCAACCTCCCATCACCTGTCTTGGACCAGAACTTGGTCATAGTCTTGCATGTCCAGTCAAATGGCCCCACTCATCTGGTTGAAACATTAACTTACAAAAGAGTAAAATAAAGATAAATTTTCAGGTTTTGATTTATCTGGCAACACAGCTTTACAACTGCTATTGCTGGTAAAAGTGAAACAGAAGCAAGAGATGACTGAAAAAGGAAAGACAGATCTATTCCTTTCATTGATTTAAACTCCTTGGGTAGCAAGCCCATGGCATGAACCAATACAGAGCCCTTTTCTATAGCCTGGAGAATATTCTGCCTCTCCCTGTGAGTCAGTCTGCCCCACCGCACATTCATCGGGGCATATGAACATTCACTGAGATTTCTCAGGAACGGAAGCACAGTAATTCTTTCTAATTCCTGCCTTGTATTCTTTAGTTGAGGAATTCTAGATTAGTTTCTATTTTCTATATCTATTATAATGACTAAAAAATACAGTATTATTTCACAAACATAAATGATCACATTTAATATATTACTGAGAGAAACTACAATTAATTAAAAAATAATTATGCTAACAATGATTTTTTAAAAAATGTAAATTAGATGTATTTGCACTAATTCTCAGGTATTTGGAAACAGCAAACTGAAATGATGACTGATGCAATTAAACAAAACATATCTTACTTTAAGCAGATAGATATTTAAATCCAGACTCCTCCTGTTGGGTTTTCAATTGAAAGGTTCATATATCAATTTTAAACAGGTCTTTTACTACAGAGCAAATAAGCAACAGAAAATTATAAAAACCACGTTGGAGGTGATTCTCCTTCAAAGTCTTACACAATCCTATGCCTCTGAATGTCAGAAAAACGGATAAGGTTAAAGCCTTTGAAGCACATCAACATGTGAATATAAAATACGTTACCCAGAGTTCATGCTTTGGCTGTGCTGCCACTACATAAACCAGATTCATTCAGACACAGAAGACATGCACTGAAGATCAGTGAGGTACAATCATAGACAAAACCTTACCAAAAAATAACACACTGAGCTGTACTCACTACTAAAACAGACAAGTGGTGAACACTAATACAGAAATATAAGGGAAAGTCTCTTTTTTGAAAAATACATTTCAGGAGATGCCTCAGGTGCAGTATAAAACAGTTTCCCCAGACTTTTTCACCTCTCCGCCTTTATGGAAATTTCTCCTCTTATGTCCCTCTCTTTCAATGAGAAAACTTCCTACTGAAGAGGCTCTGGCTCACATCCTTAATGTTAAATCATTTGAGCTACTGAATACTCATTATTGAAATTAGTGCAAATTAAGCATGTGTTAATGGCACCAATTCAGGATAGCATCATTCTTTATGACAGTACATAAGAACACACTTTTCTGAATTCTGGTCTAATTACAGTACTGATTAGGAATAGGTTTAAGCATGTGGTTAAGCAGTAATGGTCAGAATAATATGCCTCCAAATACTGTGATCCCAGCTATCAGTAAACAAACTTTTATCCAGGTAGGCTTGAAAAAATGATTGCAGTATCTAAGTCCAAGTAATTATAGTCTCCGTTTCTTGTCATGTTTTGAGTGTAAGTGATACTTATACTTTTTTTGGAATCAAATGTTTACATGCAGATTAGAAAGAAAACACATAGGACTAAAATAACACATTTATTACATGCCATGTTACAGTTCACTGCATTCCCATTTCTATTTGCACTCACAGTACTATGGGAAACCAAAATTATTTCATCAGAAACAAATGAAGTACACAGAAAAGTTTGTCAACAGACAGAAGCAAGTGTATCCATAAGCCAAACAGCCATAACACTCAATAGGTTTAATACTCCATTACATTGTTTCATAGAAATTAGAGATGAAAGACTTCTTATCCATCCCTTGCCAATTCTGGATGTTTTCTGTTCTCCAATTCAGTCACTGGAGGCTGATTGGCAACTGACAACCACATGAATAGAAAAAAATAACTAGATGTGCCAGAGGAAAGCAGGCTATGAAATTTATATTTCCTCTTGTGAAGTGCCAAGTTCTTTCAAGTTCCTTTTGTTTAAAGGTGAATTAATGAAACTCAGAAGCTCACAACATCCGGGCCTTGTATTGTATAGCGAGTAGACTGCATTTCAAGTACACATCCAACATACTGCTGCTGAAGCCACCTTCATCCCTCCTACAGAGGAATGTGTTTAGTGTGCTGTCAAAAAGCATCAAACTGCACCGTGGAATTAAAAGTGACACATTGCCACTGCACTGAACATTTTCTGAAAATGAGACTCTAAAGAAACAGTAAATTATAGCAGATCAGTGTTGTTAATGATGCCACACTTCTACGCTCAGTGTAACAGTCAGAAGAAGTTGGTGCTCAGAAAGGTCACACAACAAATAATGTCAGCCAATCTCGATAGTAGGCTTTCAGATTCTCTCAACCACTTTTATATTTCATCAGTTAAATACTGAAATAAAGTTTGCATTAAAATGGGATCTTCTCTGTCACACTTTCTTCCAGACTCACTGCACATAGTCTTGCATTCTCTATTAAATTTCAGGGCTGAACACTGCAGTAACATTTCATCTGAAATGTGTATTGCATATCATATCTTATTATGTCTGGTACCAACTAGAATATAAAAATACATTAATCTTTTCTGAGAAATTCAGAGGAGGGAGCACATTCAACAGAAACATTGGGGGTTCTTCATGTATCATTTTCTATTATTAGCCATTAATCATGTCTTTATCTCCGGTACTGAACATCCTTACCTACAGCCAAATGCTAATCCCATTAATCCTCTTTAAAGATCTGTAAGGTCTTCTGTGTAATTCTGACTTTTACTTAATGCATATCTTAATTTTACAGTGATTTTTGCAAGCTCACTTGAGACCAGTTTCTTTTTGAGAAATGAGGAAAGACTGCACTTCTCCATAATGAAGACAATGGACTTAAAAATGGAAACAAGATACTAAATGCTGCCAGCCAGCAATAGTCAGCACAAAGTCGTCAGTCCAGAAAGACTACTACTGAAGAACTGCTACCAAAGTGAACTGAAGCTCTGACCACAGAAAGCCTGGAGAACTAGTCCTATGATTTTTGGGGGGATACATCCCATCTTGGAGAAAGATCTGCAATGCACAAGGATTATTCTAACTCCCCCCTCATAACAGAGCTTTTCCATTAGAAACAAACAAATACCAAGGAGGTAATTACACAGCAATCCATCACATATGTTCAGGAAATTTGTACCATTTGGCTTTGGCTCAGAGTAGCGTATGCAGTAACAAGCAGATTCTACAAAATCATACTGTATGCAAAGTGGAGCAGGTCACATACTACACTTGCAGGGCTGGAGATTGAACATAGTGGCTTTGAATACAATGACTATAGCACTGTTACAGGTTTTCCAAACTCTGATGATACAAATTCTACTGAATGTAGAGTTATGACTTTTCCTCTGGCCCCAAGTATGAATCAGACAACGGAAAGAGGAATGGAGACGATGTGAAAAGCATTATGCTTAATGGCCAGAATCTCAGTCAACATCAGTATGGTTTCCATGAAATAAGCAAGCAGTGACAGCTGGGTAGCAATTTTTGAAAGTCATAGCCCTCTTGGAGAATGTCGAGGAACTCACAACAGTAAAGTAATGGCAGATGGAGCACAGACATAAATGTAATCTAAGGTTGAAAACTAAAAGCCTCTATCAATGGTTAAGATAAGACAAGCTCAGAATTACCCTTGGGTTTTTTGTGATATATCCATTTCTCACTGCTCTAATCTTTGCATTCTGTATAAATCTGAATGTGATTAATTATGACTTATTCACTCCTTTTAACATACTGCAGAGAACAAATGGCTGGTTGAAAAACAGAAATGTTCTATTTTGACTTTTTTAAATCAGGGGTTAATAAAATCATCACCTTATGGATGAAATGGCTGAGAATAACTAATCCCATTTTATTAAGGCTTTTTTTTTGTAAAGATGTAAGAGATGCTACAAAATTCATCTGCATTATCATTTAGGATTAAAATTGAAAGCTTATGTAGAACTGTCCAGTTAAATAACACAGCCTCTTGACTCTGCATTTTGTTAGAGCTGGACAAAACTATCTGTGTGTTCAGGAAAGTTAAATCTTAGGGATATTCATTTTTAAATTTTCTCTTCAAAATACCAATAACAGTTCTATAGTTGATCACAAGAGGGAGACTACATCACCATATTTTCTCTCATTGTTTCAAATTCTTAAAGCATCCAAACTATTTGAGTCATTTTGGACCAGTTCTAATCTTTGACTGCTCACTCAAAAGTGTTAATGGCTGTTCAATTAGCATTTTTTTCTGAGTTTGTCAAACCTCTGAAATTTATAGATAAAGATAGCCAATCCAGTAAACAAGATTGAACAATGCAAAGGCAGTTGGAAAGAAGATTCGAGAATAGGAGTCAATTTTTGCAATACGGATGTGTATTCTTCCTTCTCTCCAAGATCCTGTGCGGCAGTCTTCAAAACAACAAAAGAAGCTAGCACAGTCTTTCCCTTCTAGGCACTCATATCCATAATCATCATCACGTTCAGGGAGATGATTAATGTTATTAATTGGAATCAGTGTTGATCCAGGTCGAACAGCAATTGCAGGTGGTTTCTTAAGAAAAACAAAAAAGAAAAATATAGTTTTGCAGGTTTTTTTTATCCTCACATTAAATAATTCCATAGGTTTTCCATAGCAAAGACCAATACAAGCCCATTCAGTACAATATACAGAAATTCTAATATTAAAGAAAACAGTTTGGGGAGCTTTGTGAGTTATGAACTGCTGTATATAATTAGCTCATGCAGGCAAAAGATCATGAATGATTTTCACCTGCCACAGTAAAAACTGGGTTGTGCTGGGATTTGGAAATAGTGGATAATTAGTTACACAGACAGGATTACCTGATCCCATCTACACAACACAAATGAACACTTCGAAGTCAGTCAGAGCTTGACAACTGGGTCACAAGCAAGTCCACAAGCAGGCTATAAATGTCACTACCAAGGGAACGAGGGTTCTCCCATCATTTGGAGTCTTTAGAATGAGACCAGATGTGCTTCTGGAAGCTACATTTTCACCAAAAAAAAAGCTAATGGGATTAGTATAGCAGCAATAGTGAGGTTTAAAATACAGAGACACATAAGGCCAGGCTATGTCACTTAACTCTCTAATGTTAAATCCCTAAACAGTATACCCCATCTTTAGAAATCAAGACACAAGACTCCTTAAGAGAATGTCACTCAAGTCACTGAAACTGATTAATTCAGCTCTCAATTCTTATTTTTACTTTCCATGGGCATAACTCAACTCTCTTGCAATATGGCAAAAACTCAGTGTACTAGATGTTAAGGTTCATAAATAATTTTCATAGAAAAAAATCTGGGTGCCGTATTGGCTAGTGCATAGACTGTTTGCTATTCCCTTTCTTGTGACTTTTACCTTTTCACCCTCCTTTCACTTGCACTACCACAGACCACCCTTCCCCCTTTTACTATTTTGTTTCCATGCAGTTCTTCACTCTTCATCCTTGTTTTCCTGCATATTCAAAAGACATTCTCTTTCTCCATCTGTCCTTTTTCCTCTTTCTAAATCTCACAGCCTTTTTAAACTACTCTATAATCCTCTCTTTCAACTCCTCCCCCACTTTTGGTATCCCTTCTAAAATCTTCAGACTGAAGATAGGGGTTACATCAACACTACTCTTACATTGTCTTTTTTCTATCATTTCCGTATTTTTTCTTGTAAGGAATAAATAAAGCAGGAAAGGATGCAGTCAGAAGAACTAACTGGGTATTGAAGTGCAGAGAAGAATCTCTCTTAAGCAATTAGACATGAAAGGCAAAGAAAAAATATGAAAAGAAAAAAAAAATAAAAGCAGGGAGCCACATCATTTAGATTCTTGTTATGTTTTAGAGTCCTGTTTTCCCACTTCCAGGGAATTACTTAGGCCAGTACACAGATGTCTATACTTTGTTAAGGATGCACTCTGTTGCTGCAGGGGCATTTTACCCAATGTCCCAAGGGGTGGTGTTAAAGCAGTGCAGTATCCACCACATTTTCGAATAACTTTATTCAATAAGTTTCTTTACCAGAGGAAGTTTCACATAGACTGCTGTTTCAACACTTTTTAGACATGGTGACCTAGGGAGCTAATTATCGTCCTAAAGGATCTCATTATTCTTTTCAGTTATGATAAAATACTGACAATACTAACAAACAGAAGTTACATGCTTCTGCCATAATTTGAGGCATTACAAACAGGGCTTATTTTTTATAAAACATAAAAAATAAGTTCAAATTTTCTTTGGAACTTACAAAATCATTATTTTGTTGAAGATATACAGGGAAAGATGCTTATTTCTGGTTCACACCTACTCTGGCTTTACAAGAATTTTCTGACTGTTAGTTCTGCCAATGTAAGATTCGTGGCATGATTCGTTTCTACTAGTGGGGTAAAACAGGAATCCCCAAATCACAAACACCATGGGAGGAGGAAACAATAACAGCACTGCTTTTCACTGCTCATGTCACCAGCACAGACTGAAGCTGGCTACTGAATTACAGGCTTGAAGATGTGGCCTGAGAAAGGCAGAAAGACAGTGCCATCTTATAGGCCTAACTACCTATGAGGAATACATAAAATGTGTGTAAGAAGGAGACAATGTGAGGGAAAATGGGAAAAAAGACCAACACCTCACAACAAAATGATCTCATATTGATTGGCAGAGACTTAACAAAAAGAAACCCAAAACATGTAGATACAGTAGTACATGCTGATTGTTCATGGACATGCCTACTGATACAGTAAGTAGAACTCCACATATAGTGAGAAGCATTTATAATACACTCTGATAGGATCAAACCCAAATTATTCTGCATTAGCACTAATACCTGTACAAAAGAAAGCCATCATCTGTGGAGATCACAGCACAGGTGAAACAGTCACTTCAGGTGAAATTATGACTAGAACAAGATCCACAACTAATTAAGTTTAATCTTTCCTACCCAAACTCATTATCCTTACTAATGTGGATTTACATAAGCCAATTCATACTACCTTTCTTGAATGATGCCAGCACATATTTTGTAAGATAAAACTGCCTTAATCATTTGTAAAATCTCACCATTTTTTTCACAAGATCATTTATTGCATTTTATTGGCATTAGTTCCTGAAATAATAAGCTTTTCTTGCATCTTGAATAGTAACAGAAGACCTATGCAAGGCATGTTCTCCAAGGAAAAAACACCTGTAAATGAGAACTTTTCAGAAGGAATTAAACTCACTATTTTAATTAAATTGTTGGGTTTCGTTACATATCATAACTACAAGAGAAAAAGAATGAATAGAAGTCTTTGACAAAAATAAAGGGGGGGGGGGGAAGAAAAAAATTGTGGATTTGTAATTGTATGACTTCCCATTAATTAATCAGATAGCTTCTTTAATTGTTCTATTTGAAATAAGAAATTTTATAGCTCTTTATAAAACATCAGCAAAAAAACCCTATCCTTGCATCTAAGTATATTATTCCCCTCCCTTTTTTTAGAGTAATCTCTTATCTAGTATGGTCATACAGCCATAACTTGCTGAAACACTTATTCAATACTCTATCTGACCATTATTCTACATTTTAAATTGTCATATGCACTGAAATTCTGAAAGCATTTGGCAGATTATTGCACAAATGGTTGATGTGTGAACAGATTCTGGAAAGTCCTCTTACTCCATTCAAAAGTGTATACTTGCAAACCACTTCAATGGCTTTTGATCTGCCAGCAGCTGATCTTTACCCTGGTTTGAATAAGCGGTATTTCCTCCTTTCTTCCTTTTCTCCTTGTTGTGCATGCTGAAGGCAGACTTGTTTCATCTCCCTGTTCCCTAAGTGTTGTTGAGACCTCATTGCAACAGCAACCTAAAATTGAATCTGCTATGCTAACACTGGGAAGATCCCCAATTTCTTCAGCCTCTGTCATCTTTTACCCTCACTGCTCATCTGTAGCCCTTGCCAATGTCTGTTTTCCATCCCTTCCATTGTGCCCACATTTGCCTCTACCATCAACAGGAAGGAGCTCTGAGGTTTCCATTTTCCAGTTCTCCTGGTTATGCTGCATTCCCTGAGGATCACAGTGATGTCCGACCAAGGCAGCACAGGGCAGTATTAACCCTTCACCACTAGCCTTGTCCCAAATAGACAGCAGATCCATTCAGACCAACTCATCATATGAAATGTAAGGGCTCTCATTTCCCTGGTATTAAGCCATAGCAGCCCCGCCATGCCCCATAACAGTCTCACACAGCAGCACTGCTCACAATGGATGTGCCAGTGCTTTCCGACACTAGTCACAGAATGGATGTCATTCATAACAAGTTTTCTGCATTTCCATATCTGGGCTTCTGTAATTTAATTTCAATTTCTGTTTGATCTTACACAGGTGGTATTCAGCCTTCACCAGAAAAGAAAACTGATAGTGATTCAGCTATGCTCCAGCTTCCTTTGATGAAATGGTCTGGAAGGGGGCTTTATAACATTGTCTTTCCTATTCTTCTCTCCAAAAGATGATTATAATCAAGCCTCAGGTATTAAGATTAGCGTTTGAATGAATAAGCAATCTAATGCCTTTACCTCAACATTTGATTAGTTTAAATATTAGCTTTAAATATTTTTACTGGCTTCCAACAACAGATTCTTTGGAAGTTCCAGTATTCTTACTACACAAAGAGAAAGCCTCTTAAAATTGAGTAATACTTCCTCCTGGGATATGTGGGGATTCACAGCATACAAACATCAATTTGTAAAAGCAGAAGGCCGACTTTACCAGAAAGAAACATGGAAGTAAATTACCAAAAAAAAAAAAAAAAAAAAATCTGAAGTGGGAGTCAGAATACTGCCCAATAATAAGCACTTGTCCCTTTGCAAAGCTAGCAAGGTAAGACTGAAGTTAGGTGATGTAGATCCAAACAAATCCTCATACATTCAGTCCATTTACATTATCTCTACTGCTACAGTCTTATCTGTGGTTCTCTGCCAGGTGCTGTTTTCAGAAGCACTGTGCCCAGACACATGTAATGTTATATCAAACCACTCTCTAGCTTAGGCTCATGTGTTCTCACTCACATATGAGTGGAAAGACCCAAACCTTTTGTTCATTAGTAGTATTTACAGAAAACTAGTACAAGCCTCCAACTGTGAAAAAATGACAAAATAAATATTAGTGTTAATTATCTTTGAATATTAGCCCTTCTACTTAAGAACTACTGTCTCAAAATTAATGCTACAATGAAGAGCATTCTGTATTGTTTTTTCTTTTTGTTTGGCTAAACTTACTGATGGCTTAGATTTTGCCTTCTTTTCTTTTCCTTTGTCCCCTTTTCTGTTGCTGGTAAAGTAATGCAAGGTGCCATATTCCATCAAGGCAGCAAACACAAAAATGAAGCAAACTGAAACAAAAAGGTCCATTGCTGTCACATAGGAAACCTTTGGGAGTGACTTCCTAGCAATTGTACTCAACGTTGTCATGGTCAGCACTGTTGTAATGCCTGTTTGAGAAAAAAAGAAAAAAAAGACAGGAAGAGGGAAGTGTATAACTAATCCAATCATATTGTCACCAAAAAATCCTCAAATTAGCCCTTAATTCATTCATGAGGCATATGAGAACGGAGCCACAGCAGGGTTCACTGCTGATCACACCCACACACATCAGTGCTATCGTAAGAAACCGTCCCTATAGATCCAGTGGCCACTATGGGATCATACAAAAGGCAGCACATTTTACCTTCAGTTTAAATCTTTCAACACACACTGAATAAACAATGAGATTGAGAAAGTTTGTCTAATTTTATAAATCTGTTATGGAATGCAAACATAAAACAAATACAATAGACAAACACCTACAAATAAGCACAGACATTTTATAAACACAAAAATGGTTCTTTGACTCTTGAAAGATTAAAATGTACAAAAGGACACATTCAGAAAAAAAGGCAAGTTATTTATCAATTATTTCAAACTTTCAGAAAACAAGAGAAAAATGAATGTTTTCAATTGTTTGCTTCTGACATGTCGCAGATCAAACTAGATGACCTTCATGGCCTTTCCGGTCTCATTCTTTAGAGATACTAGGTATTTTTTCAATACTGTGTCTTAAGTAATAGAAAATGTTTCCCTTGATTCACTTGTATACAAGTTAATTAAAATAACAAGTTGGCCTTAATAGTGATGTGTTCAGAATCTCAACTATACCACTCTTCACTGGTTTAACATTTAGAAGGTGTTAACACTTTCTTCTTATATTTTGGCTCTTCAGGGAGATGTAAAGCCTTTTTCACACTAGTTCAAACTTAAGATGTGACCTTTCCCTCGGAGAGAAATACTTGAAGATACAAACAATTTGTTATTTACATGCTCAGGTTTACTGCAAAAAAAGTGTTACACCACTCTAAGGTTGTCTATGGCTTTTAAATCAAGGCATGGAATCAGGGGTCACAATGGACTGATCGTGCAGCAGGAAAGCAGTGATTTTGCAACAGATTTTATAATGAAATTACATGCCTAAAAGGGCAAAGAGATAACCACAGAGTTTTTCAGAAGTGCTTTGCTCCCACTAGATGCTTTTGCAAATCAATTAGGCATTTCTCTGCATAGTTAAATTTCTAAATGTCTTTAATCATCTCGAACCTTTTGCTTTGGGAAACCATGGTCCGCAAGGACCTTTCAACATATATGGAAGAAAAAGGCCTGAGCCTTTTCAGTGTACCAGAGTCCAGCACAGCCTCCAGGTGGGAAGTCACACCCACCGTTCCCCTTACTGACTTCTGTTCAGAGAGGACAAAACGAGACATGGACTTTCCCAGTCCTCTCCACTATGCAAAAGGCAAACAGCAGACTGTCACAGGGAGCAAACCTTCCACAGCATGACAACTGCTTGCCACGATGAACCTTGCTTAGTTTTGGCTTTCTTATCTTAATTTCTCAGTCTTTTTCTATAGAATTGTGTCTATTTGACTGGTATTCTCTTTCTTCTTCACCAGAACATCTGCATGTGAGAAAAGTCATTCCCCAATCTGTCAAAAGATGGCTTCTGCATGTTCACACAAAAGGAGCTCAGGGTTAACTGCAGGGAGCTGTAAATACGATATTGCAAATGTTTGTAGTACATATCAAGTAGATGACAGTTAGTACTGCTGAAGTGGGAGTATGAAAGCTCTAGCTTAAGCATGAGATCAAAGGCAAATTCGCTAGGTTTGTGGCATAGAGAAAGTACTCTGTAAAAAGAACAAACTGGATATAGAACTATCAGGATACCAACAGAACAGTTTTTCTTGTTATAGCTAATGTCTTTCTAGCAGTACCCACAATGATGTCCAATGATTAGTCAGTCAAAGAAATATTATAATAAATTTCTAAATCAAGATTTCAAACTATCAAGAGATACTTTCATTTATCTATTCAAGATTCTAGGCTCTCTTCACTAAACTTCACAGTACTTTTAAATAGCATAAAATTGAGATCCAAGACTCAGATTTTCTTCCCTTACCTTTTAATAATGTTACTGAGCCATGCTCATTTTTGCTTACTTTCTTTCTTGACTCATTAATCTTGCAGGCTTGACTGCACAGCAGTCCAGTTTCAGTGGGGAAGTCAAGTAGTTAAAGCCCAGACTCACCCTTCTAGTAGGAAACACTCCTATAACGTGGGAATGGCGTGGTCACAATCCTCTAAGTTGATGAGGGAACTGAACTCACATCTCTTACTTCCTAAGGTACACTCTCAGCTCATGATCTTTCCCCCAAAATAGATCATACTGTCATTACCAGTTTTATGAAAAGCATCTGTCACTGCTAAGCTCAAAGTTGCTAATGTGCGTCCTGTGCACTCCATGCACCCCTGTCTAACATGCTTTATGTGGGGACTATGATTCTTCTCCAAGGTAGTACATGAATCCTAAACAGTCAAATGTAGGAGACTGGCACCATGCTAAACAGGTCACGTAAGATGACACTAACACCGAATTATCTCTGTAGCAGAACTTGCATCACGCTTCAATACTGTCTGCAGTAGAAGCAGGACAGTGAGTCAGGTTTTGTGAGTTATATACTTAACTGCTTGAAGTGCAACTTCAGTTCCAAATTTTCTGTCCTATCTTGGGCTATAAAGAACAACTGAATCATTTTTATTATTAAAAACAACAACAACAACAACCCCAACAGAAAACTCCAAAAACCAGATCTTCATGGTTTTTGCCTGTGTAGTAATGATATCCTTTGTTCCATGGTGTTAAGTGAAGTTTAATCATACTTATTAGACTAATGATTGCCATATTGTTGGCCCTGGAGATGACAAGAAGAACATAAAGGAGAAAAAAAAAAAGTATTTATACGAACAACAGCAGATCCACAAGGCTTGGATCAGGATTTCCAGATTTCCATTCTCTACACTCCCTCCTTAAGCCCTGCTGTGTAACCACAGCAGGATCCTCCTACCCTTTATCTTGCAGTTCAAGAGAAAGGGTGACCAATGGTCACAATCTGAAGGGGAATAAACTGTGGTTAATTTACTCCCTGCTGCAGATTTGTATTCCTGGGGAGTACCAGACCCTTCAAGGTTGAAAAAAGACATTCTTACCCAGAGAAGTCCTTGCAGGAACTGCATCCTTATTGATCCAAAATGACACCCATGAAAGAACAACTGTGAGTATACAAGGAATGTATGTCTGAATAGTAAAATATCCCATACGTCTGCTGAGATCAAAGAAGATTGTCATAATAATATAATCACCTATAAACGAAAAAAAAGAAAAAAATACTTACACGACATTGAAAATGGTTTTCAGTTGTATCTTCATGTGTTAGTCTTGTTCTACATAGATATTACAGGAAATAAAACTTAACACTTTGCCTTACCAGACAAGGTATGAGAAATTTCAGTTGTATTTCGTAACCCTACAAATGCAAACTGATACAATCTCCAGTATTTTGGATCTGCCACTTCAACAGAGGTTTTCTTCCATTTGTATTCAATTTCATTTCTGGGATATCCATCTAGAATAAAACAGAGCAAATCCAGCATTCAGCCACAGTGAATACCAAAGTATATTTTGTGACCTCTGAAGTTTTTTATAAACTAAACCAGGGCTATATATAAAATGGATCAGAGAGAAAGTCAATCTATAGTCCATCTGATACGCTTAAAATACAACCACAAAATATCCAGCCCAAGTTTTAAGCCTAGCTAAATGTATGATCAATCAAAAACTATGTAAATACAAAAGTTTAAGAAATATCTAGATAATATTCTGGAACTTAGATACAAAAAACTGGCTCAGATTCATCATTATGAATTAATACACAAACATAAAATACATTATCATTAAAGGACCACAAAGAGCTTAAAAGGAAAGACACTTCTTAGTAGATAATTTGATAAAATTCCTATTGATGTTTTTCGAAATTTTGTCTATTATTCCTGGAATGGATTTTTGTGGCCTGATTCACTGTCCAGTATTTCATCTTTAACAAAGTGCAACCTTCTCAGTTTTCATGTGCCTCACATGTTGCCCCACATTATCTTGCAGAAAGGCAGAAATGAAATTAAGCAAGACTTGCTTGTATGGCACAACTATTTAATCAATAGAGCTACCAAACCTCATTTAGCTGGAAGCACTCAAGAAGGAAGTATTAAATGAAAACATTAATTTAAAAAGAATCACTGAAGTTTGATTTCATTGCCTATTAGGTTTCACATTTAGGAATAAATCATTTAGCTGTGTTCAGGTGGTTTGGGTTTCTTTTGCCAGTAATAGCACAATTCCCTTGGGAACATTTTATTTTA